CAGCATGTCACCCCTGGGGACGTCTAGACCAAGAGAGCATCTCAGCAATGGGTTGTGCCAAGCGTGATGCACTCCTCCAGCCCTTCCAAGGCCTGGGCAAGCAGAGACTTCTGCTAACTGCTGTCTCCCTTCCAGCTCTACCTGGACGGGCCCTTTGGGGAGGGCCACCAGGAGTGGAACAAGTTTGAGGTGTCGGTGTTGGTGGGAGGAGGCATCGGGGTGACTCCCTTCGCATCCATTCTCAAGGACCTGGTCTTCAAGTCATCCATAAACTCCAAGCTGCTGTGTAAGAAGGTAAGAGTGTCTGAAAGACAAGTCCCCCTGAGAGGCTGGACTCGATGATCTCAGAGATCTTTTCCAACCTAACTGATTTGTGATTCTGAGATGCCTCCTGCTGCTGCTGGCCTCTTTGGGGGTAAAATCCTCTGTGGAGTCCATAGAGATTCATAAGGATGCTGGCCCCACTCTGGGCCTCATTCCAATGTGCTACAGATCTACTTCATCTGGGTGACGCGCACGCAGCGGCAGTTTGAGTGGCTGACAGACATCATCCGGGAGGTGGAGGAGTCAGACAAGAACGGCTTGGTCTCTGTGCACATCTACATCACACAGCTGGCTGAGAAGTTCGATCTGCGCACCACCATGCTGGTGAGCCTGGGCATCCAAGGGCGAGGGTGCCATGCCATGCCATGCCAGGCTGTGCTGGGCCATCTGACGTGCACCAATCTCTCTTTCAGTACATCTGTGAGCGGCACTTCCAGAAGGTGCTGAACAAGAGCCTGTTCACGGGGCTGCGCTCCATCACCCACTTTGGGCGCCCTCCCTTCGTGCCCTTTTTCAGCTCGCTGCAGGAGGTGCACCCTGAGGTCAGTGTCCACCTGGGGACAGGAGGAGGTGCACCCACTGGCTATTGTGGAGGATTGGTCCCAACCTGTCCCCAAGGTCCTGGAGGCCTCAGTGGCATCTGCACCAAGAACAGTGCAGAAGGGGAATGAATCCTGTTTTCCCTCTGGAGCCAGGCTGAGCTGCAGGAGTCAGCAATGCCCCATACCAGCCAAACACCCCCTGCTATTGCAGGGCCCCAGCTGCAACCTCTGACCTGAGCTGGGGGGTTCCCATCCTTCCTCCATGGCCCTGGCAGCTCCATGGGAATGTGACAACCTCCCCAAAAGCCTCTGGAGGCTGAGCAGCCATGCCCACAGCTGTCAGAGAGCAAGGGGGGCTGACTGTGGGGAGAGCTGGTGCTGCAGCCTGACCCTTTGGCTCCCTCCTTCCCCAGGTGCAGAAGATCGGGGTGTTCAGCTGCGGCCCGCCCGGGATGACAAAGAGTGTGGAGCAGGCGTGCCGGCACATGAACAAGAAGGACCAGACCTACTTTGCACATCACTATGAGAATTTCTGACCTTACCCCGCACTGTTCCACCCTCTGGCTGCAGCTGCATGATTTCACCCTAACACCTAGCAGCAATACTTCCAGCAGCCACAGTCCCAGGCACCTTCCCCAGGTGAAAGCCATCCAGAGCTGAGTGCAGGGATACTGAGACCCACACAGCAGAGATCTGTGTGCTAGTAAGGCTTTGCCATCCCAGCACTGCCCTACACGGCCCCAGTGAGAACCCCTGAGCCCTGCTACCATCCACACATCCCTGCAGCCCCACAGACAGGGGCATGCTGCTGTCCCAACCCAGTTAAACCCAGCTCTGCCCCCTTAATGGCACAGGACAGAGCTTCTGCTCTGCTGGGGGACTCAGGGAATGTTTCTGACCAGCTTTGGGGAGCAGCTTGGTGCCTGCACAACCTGGATTCACAGCACTTTGTTCCAAGACCCATGTGGTGAACAGATGGGGTGAGGAGCCAGCAAGCTCCCTGCTAGCCCTCTTTTTGAAACAGCTCTCCTCACACACTCTTCAGTGCCTGCTTGTTAACTCTCCAAGCCCTCCCTGGGTTTGCATAAGGCCTTAGCTGTGTTTGCATTGGCTTCTTCCAGCAGTGTCAGTCCTTCAGTCAGGTATCAGTTGTACTTGGTTAAGTAATGCCTGGCTTTGCATCACTGCTGCTTTTACAGGCTGTGGTTGAGCTCAAATAAAGCTGATTGAAGTCTTCAAACACTTTCTTGCCTCCTGTAGTTGGGTCTTGTTCTTGGGGCTGCTAGGAGTGTCTTGAGCTATTTATTTTTCAGCATCAGTGCTGCTTTAGCACTGTTCACAATTCCACTACATCTACAGCCTGTCTCTTACAACCTCCCTAAAACCCTCTAATTTTATAAATTCCCACACCCTGCAAGCCCATCCAACCCACCATCCCACACTTCAAGAGACACACTCTGGAAGGTCTCAGGCAGCCAGAATTTATTGAGCAAAATTCAGTACCAAGCAAGGAACTGATCTCTCAGTACTAAAATTAACATGACTGTAATCAAAGATTAGAAATTTTCTACCTCATTAGTACCTTGTTTGTGGCTCACAAACTCAGCAGGAAGGCTTGATATTCCCAAATAATTTATGATATGTTTGCAGTGGTAAAACCCTTGAGTGACGCTCACTCAAAGCAGTGGTAAAACCTTTGAGAGATGCTGTCCTGTCATGTCTCATCTGTGCTCCTTTCCATGTGAAAAGCAGCTGTGCCCCCCAACAGCCCCTTCATGGGAGGCACATGAGGACAGGGCTCTCAGCACTCCCAGTTTCCCTGCCTGCAGTGGTCCCACGAGGAGCTGCTGGGGGTGACACAGCAGACATGGTCCCAGCTGGCCTCCAATTTCCCAAAACCCCAGTTCTGAGCTCTGAGAAGGGCGTGGAGAGAATGACCTGAATGTGCCAGTGCTTCCCGTGCAGTGGGGAGGGCCAGGCTTTGTTCCACAGGCTGTCCAGTCCCTGAGCACCCATGAGGGAAGGGGGGCTGTTCACATAGGGTTATCTTGCATCCAGGGATTGCCAGGCAGGAAATGCTGCAGCCAGGGCAGTGCAGGACAGGAAGGGAGGAGTGCCAGCACCTCCACCCTTGCTGTGCCACATGCCAGCTCCTCCTTGGCATGGAGGAACCTGGCCAGGCTCTGTGGTCTGTGAAGAAGAGCCACCAACTGTGCAACCCATCACCTCTAATTCAGCATTTTGATTCAAACTATTGGTTGTCCATTTGTAGTAACCTGTTAGTGCTCTAACGGTGTCTCCCAGTACCATTCACCCTCATTACATGTGATTTTCTAGTTACAAGCAGCAGGGATGAGGGCTGGGCACTGGGACAGCTCAGGGGTTCTGATCAGTGGGGTCACACTTCAGCATGACTTTGACCCCCTCACCCCTCTTGGTGGTCTCAAAGGCCTCCAGAGCCTTCTCCAGGGGAAAGCGGTGCGTGACCAAGGGCTTGACGTTGATCCGCTTGGATGCCAGAAGAGAGATGGCCACAGGCCACCTAAAAGGGAAGCAGAGAGCAGGGGATGAGAGCAGCCACTACTCTGGAGTCCAGGAAAAGAGCTGCTCCATGCTCTTCTAGCCCAAAGAAGTTTTGCCTGCAAAGAATTTTCTGGTGTCTTGTCACCATGATATATTATGAAAAGTCCCTTCGCCAGGATTTTTTCTCCTGAGAAGCTGGGAAGCTTCAGCTTCTCCATGTTTTGCTACTTTGGAATGTGATTTGGAGAATTGTTTATCCAGCATGTGAATTGGTTTAATTTAATGTCCAATCACAGCCAGCTGTGTCGGACTCTCTGAGTCTGTCATGGGTTTTTATTATTCATTCTTGTCTAGCCTTCTGATGTCTCCTTTCTCTTTTTTAGTATAGTTTGAGTATATAATTTTCTTTTAATATAATATTACATCATAAAATAATAAATCAGCCTTCTAAGAACTTGAAATCAGATTCTCATCTCTCACCTTGTCCTGGGGACCCTCACAACACCACAACAGTGTCTGGTATGGGAGATGGGAAAAGCCAACAGCTCTGGGCAGTTGGGCTCTGAGAAGACAGGCACTGCTACAGAGACAGTTGAGACAGTAAGTGAAATCACAGGAAGCAAATGAAAATCACAGGAAACTACGACTTTGGAAGGCCTGAAGGAAAACCAAAACTGCCGTGCTCTGCTCTCCTCTTACCCAAACTCTTGCCTGCACACTGACCATGGTGGAGCTCAAACTCATGGACTCAGTGCAGGGAGAAAAAAGGAAAAGTCTCATCCAGCTTCCAGCCTCTTCTCTGGCACAGAGTCCCTCACAGGGATTGTGTTGCCACTCTGTTTAGAATCATAGAAACACTGAGATTGGAAAAGGCCTCCAAGATCATCAAGTCCAACCTTGAATGGGCTGAACTAGAGCAACAGGGATACAAAGGGATGCAGCAGCTAATCCCAAACTGCCTACTTAATAACACTTCTCATTTTAAGAAGGAGCATGACGACATCCCATAAATCCTTCCTGGGGAGCTACAGATTAAGAAAAGAGACTTTCTCCATCAGCAAGAAAGTAGAGCTCTGAAGGATTTTAGCTTGGAGACACATCAGCCCCCCAGAGGAGACTCACGTGTTGCAGTAGCGGAATATGCCGCGGATGTCCACCTCCCGCACGGCCGCGTTCACGATGGGCACCGTCACCATCTCAGGGCCCAGCCCCACCAGAACCAGGGTCCCACCAGAACGAGTGGCCTGCAGAGCAAACACACAAACGGGTTACATTCTGCAGAGCACACTGCAGGAGACTGTGTAGGGTCTGTCAAAAATGAAGGCATCTTTGTGGCTGCAATGGATTGTCTGGGGCACAGCAGAGAAGCACCAGGGAGAGGCAGGATGCTGTCAGGAGTCTGTAAGAGTGAAATATGTGGTAATCAAAGCATAAAATGCAATCTTTTTTTGAAGGATTTTGATAGGAATCCAAATTTCCTATTCTGAAAACCCCATTCTGAAAATTGGCTGGCATTTAGGACGACAAAAGGTACTTTGGGATTTCAGTGGGAGAGATTTAAAACTAAGAGTCTGATGCTCTACTGGAATTTCTCTTTTTGAAGTTTGTCCCATTCCCCTCCTGTCCTTTCACTGTGAAACTCCACATTAACCTTCCCCTCATCCTCCTGTTAGGATGTTCATGGCAGCAAAACATCCCTTTCTTAATTGCTTCTTTCATTCCTTCTGGAATTAATTTTCTTGATCCCTCTTCTTATGTGGACATGACTTCAATGGAAGCTGCTGTCCTACTCCCTGGGTTTGGGGATCTTATTGGAGTCTCCTTGGTAAGTTTTTAAGCACCCAAGCATCAAATCAATTATCCCCACGCTGATGTTAACCCTTTAATTATCTCTCTCAGTTTATTGTCTAAGGAGCAGCTCCTCTCCCCAAACCAAGCCCACTTAAATTAAGCACAGTGAGAGTGAAATAGGTCATTCACTGACCCATCCCAGAAAAAAAAACAGACCAACACCATCACTGGTCTGCCTTTGGAACAAGTGGTACTCACATAAATTCCAGCCTGGATACAGGCTTGCACTCCTGTGCACTCCACAGTTATCTCAGGCATGCAGCCAAGCACACTTTCCACCTTGGAGGCCACCTCCTGAGGGGTCTCTTTCTGCAGCTGGATGGTGAAATCTGCCCCTACCTCCTTGGCTTTCTGCAGGCGAGAGGCAGATAAGTCTGTGGAAAGAAAACCAAGCCAAGAATTGGAGTATTGGTGAAAGAAGGGGAAGAACCTGAACCTGGCCTCTTCTCACTACATGTGTGCACAGGACAGTGAACAACCAGAAGAGGTGAGGATTCACCCCTTCTTGGCAGGCAGAAAATGATCACAAAATCCTGGAACAGTTTGTGTTGGAAGTGACTTCAAAGCTCCACTCCCCTCTGAAGTTCCATTCCCTGCCATGGGCGTTTCTCTTTGGTTCTGCCAGAAGACTGAGAGTGCATCAAGGCAATAAACATGGCTATGGACAGCACCAAGGAATCCTTCCAACAGGAGACAACAGGCTCAGAGGGTCATTAATGGGGTCATTTCACTTCTAACAGTACCCAATGAGAACAGACCATGAGCTCTCCAAGGGCTCCCTTGAGGAACCCTCAGCAGGTGCCTTCAGCTGAGCAAGCTGCAGAATGCATTCATTGCAAACACTCAGTGTGTCTGCATGGTCACCGACCTGTTCTGCTCTTTACCCTCCTTGTAGCAGCTCTGGAGGCTGCTGAGCATCTCTCAGACAGTTTCTGTCACAGATGAATGAGCAGGCAAGCCCATAAAACAAAAGGGAGTGGATCTGGTAATAAGATGGACTTGAGATACCCATTAATATGGAGCAATAAAGCTGGTGATGATAAACATCTGTGAGGGCATGGCTGTACTCTGTACTCTGCTCTGAGGGATCTTGACAGGGCTGTATCACCTGAAGATGACAAGCTGTCCTGCTGGGGCATTCCACACCCCCTGGAGGAAAGCCACCTATTCCTCTCCAGGCACCACTGGTAACCTTATCTCCTCTGGAGATAAGGATGTGGACAGCTGAAGAGAAGAATGGGATTGCCCAGGAAGGAATCACCTCTTTTGCCTACACTAAAGCAGAGTCTACAGGGGTCTGCATGCTGGCACTGCAAAAAATGTAACAGCCAAGATTTCCTAGACCCAAAATTGAGGGGTGGTCTCCTCCCAGAGGTGCTGGGCTTGAAGACTCAGAAAATGATGCCTGTGGTAGGACCACACACAGCAAAGAGGAAAACACCCCTCTCACCAGGGCACAGTCTTCAGAGAAGTCAGAGGTGGGGTGGGGTGAAAACATCAAGGGGAAGAGGAGGAGGATAAGGCCAATTCTCCAGAATGAGCCAGTCTGACTCAGCTGCGGTCCTGGGAGTGAGCCAGAGGCTCTACCCTGCCCAGCCCACAGCAAAAATGATGGCACTCACTCACTGGCAGGGCAGGGGATGGACAGGCACCCACTGGCAGGGCAGGGGATGGACAGGCACCCACTGGCAGGGCAGGGGATGGACAGACACTCACTGGCAGGGCAGGGGATGGACAGACACTCACTGGCAGGGCAGGGGATGGACAGACACTCACTGGCAGGGCAGGGGATGGACAGGCACCCACTGGCAGCTGGAAGGCTCAGGATGCCAAGTGTGGGCACAACCACCCA